CACCTCACCACCTGCCTGCTACAAACCCTCCGCCCGCGCTCGCCCCCACAATCCTTCCTCACAGGACGCGCGTCCTCCTCCCCGCCGCTCGCTCTTGCTCTGCCTTCTTTTCCATGGGCACCGGAAGGTGTTCCCCTCCCTTTCCCCGATCGCATCGCGCGTTCTTTAGCTCAGAGCGGCATCATGTGGCTCGCGGAGGGAACTGCTCTTGTGTTTCTGCAGATCGTGCCGGAGTCGCTTCGCCTTTGCAATTTTCCATTTCTTATGCTTCAGTTCTCTTCGAGATATAGTTTTCTTTACAAGTTTTTACTCTCAGCAATTTTCATTGTACTCGTTAAGTCGTAGTTCACAACTATTTAGTTGCAGTGAGACACCGATTAATCTCTTCCTGTTGTCTTCTACTTGAAATGACCATGCCGTGAAATGTTTTGTACACGTAGGTTGGTTAGTAGGACAGTTTCTACTATGACTTCTGTCAGAAAGCTTGTGGTTTAACTCAATACTTCCAAAAGCATGCTCTCATCACCTGCCTTCTGTATATATTTCTTACAGCAAAGTAAATCTAAATGTTGCTTTGAGCCAAGACTCGGGTAATGGTGGCTCCAGTTGCTGTGTATGTCAGTCCTGCAGTGATTGAAGGCAGAGAAGTTACTTAGAGGAAATTGGGATGCAAAGTGAGAGCTACCTGTCAGCCTACACTTCCCTGCAGTTGGGAGTTGTGGGAGAATGTGCACAGGATCCTCCGTATTAGCAAGATGATTCAGATGAGAAAGGAAATATGAGATTTTCTTGTTCTGTGGGTATCTGTGTTCACCATCTGTGACCAATACCTGCAGCAGGCACATTGTTAGGGCTGGATACTGGGATCATTCTCCTCTTCCTCGATTCAAATAAGTCTGCTGAGTGGCTAAACATGCAGGACAAAATCTGCCACCTGCCTACACAGCAGGTCTTCTCTGACCCCCTTTGTATTCAACACCACCTGTCCAGTACTCTGGCATCTGCCAGCGTAAGGGTGAAAGCAACCCACATCTTTCTCATGATGTATGCCATGGTCCTTCAGCATTGAACAATCTTGTGCCTCCTGATCTCTTTGCTTTCCTGCTCTAATATATTGCTGGTTCATGTGGAAACCCACTGCTGAAGAAAATGAAAGGCTTCCTGATAACAGCAATGATGTCTTCAGTCCAGATTCATAAGAAGTCATTGATCAGTTTGGTTTCTGTCATCTGCTTACCTGGTGTAAAGTCATGATGCAAAGATGAACTCTTCTTCCTCCTGCATCCTCGTATCTTACCTGCATTAGCATACACAAGATTACTGGAAGACTCAAACCTACAGGGAATACCCTGGCAATATTTAGTCCATCCAATAAAAAGACACCACAAAAAAGAAAAAAAAATACAGCTGTCTATCACTCCTATAATCTTTTAATACAAATGACTTACCTGTAGTCTTTGTAGATACTTCCTTAGAACAAATAACAGACTATCACTGGATATAGTGCTCTCTGGCACACATCTATCAGAAGGGAAGTAAGAGGGAGACCTGAGAGCTAATAAC